ACCCTTCAGCCGTCATTTCTCCAAGCTAAAGAGCCCCAAGCGCTTTAACCTTTCTTCATAGGGGAAGTGTTCCAACCTTTTTATCATTCTAGTTGCCCTTTTCTGCACTTTCCCCAATGCTATAATATCCTTTTGAGGTGTGGTAGAGAGATGGGGAGGAAGGGGAAAATGGGAAAGAAAGAAAGAGAGAGAGGGAGGGAGAGAGAGAGATGGGGAGGAAGGAAGGAAGACAAAGAGGGAGAGAGGGAGGGAAAGAAAGCAGGTGGGCAGAGAAAGGCGGTGGGCGGGCAGGGCTCTCCGGAGGTCTTTCTTTGTACAATGTACAAAATGTACAATAAAGCAGCAACTGGTTTTGGCTACTGAAACTTTACGGGAGCACTTCTGGTGAAAGGGAAGCTGATCAAGCTGCAGCCTTCTACCCCTACTTGGAAGTCGGACTTACTGGATTCAACAGGACTTTCCCCGGAATAAACAGGCACAGAATTGAGCTGCACCGATTCTTCCCTCCCCAGCCCCAACCTTTCAATCTAATCTAATTTCTTCGGAGAGCTGACGTAGTTATAAACGCCAAGAGGCTCCCGCCCCCATTCTTTCTCTGGCGAGGCTCTCCCAAGGTCTTTCTCTGCCCGCGCGCCTCGGCACACAGGCAGAGAAAGGCAGGGGGGCACTCCGGAGGACTTTCTCTGCCTGTGTGCCTCAGCACGCCGGCAGAGAAAGGTGGTGGTAGCGGTGGCGGTGGGCGGGCTCTCCGGAGGTCTTTCTCTGCCCGCGCGCCTTGGCGCACAGGCAGAGAAAGGCAGGGGGCGGGGGGCACTCCAGAGGACTTTCTCTGCTGGCGCGCCTCAGCACACCGGCAGAGAAAGATGGTGGTGGTGGCAGCGGTGGGCGGGTGGGGCTCTCCAAAGGCCTTTCTCTGCCTGCACGCCTTGGCGCACAGTCAGAGAAAGGCAGGGGCAGGAGGGCACTCCAGAGGACTTTCTCTGCTGGCTCTCTGAAGGTCTTTCTCTGCCTGCGTGCCTCGGCACGCCAGCATAGAAAGGCGGTGGGCAGGTGGGGGGGGGTGCTCCGGAGATCTGTGCTAGGCGACGGCGCACGTGCCTACAAAGAGGGCTCTGCATGCCCTCTCTGGCACTTGTGCCGTAGGTTCGCCAACGCTGGTATAGATGGAACACTATGTCTGGGGCAGTGATGCTCTGTATTCTTGGTGCTCAAAAGACAACAGTGAGAAGACTTCTGGAGTTCTGGCACTGCTGGTGGACCTCCTGATGGCACCTAGGTTTTGGCCACTGTGTGACTGAGTGTTGGACTGGATGGGCCATTGGCCTTGATCCAACATGGCTTCTTTCTTGCTTTTATGTTTAGTAAAATAAATATTTGCCGTTTTTGTTGTTGAAGGCTTTCACGGCCGGAGTTCATTAGTTGATTTTCTGGGCTGTATGGCCGTGGTCTTGGCATTGTAGGATGTGACGTTTTGCCAGCAGCTGTGACTGGCATCCTCTGAGGTATAACACAGAAAGATGGAGTACTCTCTGTGTCAAGGTGAGAAGACAAATGGTAGGCAGGTAATTTATATCTACTCAGGGAGGTGAGGTAGGGCTGAGTCATTATCTTGTAGGAGTTCCCCAGGCTGTGACATGCTAATGGAGGAGCTTTCCTGAGGAGGTTCTTTTGCATATGGATTAGCTGTTGAAATTCTAATCTTATCTGTAGTGCTATTGTAAGATGTAGAGCATTTTGTGTTTTTCAGGACATGAAACCATGCCCTATTTATTCGATTTATACCCTGCCCTTCACTACCCAAAGGAGTCTCAGAGTGGCTTACAAACTCCTTTCCCTTCCCCTCCCCACAACAGACACCCTGTGAGGTAGGCGGGGCTGAGAGAGCTCTGACAGAAACTGCTCTTTTTCAAGGACAGCTCTTATCAGAACTATGGCTTGCCCAAGCAGGTGAAGTGGAGGAGTGGGGAATCAAACCCGTTTCTCCCAGATTAGAGTCCGTGCACTACTCCACTACTCCACTACTCCAAACTGGCTCTCTATTTATTTTTAAACTCTCTTCTTTCCTGTTGAAATTGTGTTTATGTTTATGAATTTCAATAGCTTCCCTGTGTAATCTGACATGGTAATTGGATGTGTTGTCCAGCCTTTCAGTGTCTTGGAATAAGATACTGTGTCCTGTTTGAGTTAGGCTATGTTCAGCCACTGCTGATTTTTCAGGTTGGCCTAGTCTGCAGTCTTTCATGTTCTTTTATTCTTGGCCCGAATGCTATGCTGTGTGGGCCCTATGTAAACCTGTCCACAACTGCATGGTGTGCAGTATACTCCTGCAGAAGTGAGAGGGTCTCTTCTGTCTTTTGCCTATCATAGCATCTGTTGTATTTTTCTGGTGGGTCTGAATACTGTTTGTAGGTTGTGTTTTTTCATAAGTTTTCCCATCTGATCAGTGATTCCTTTGATATATGGCAAAAACACTTTTTCTGTGGGAGACTGGTTTTCCTCAGTTGTTTGTTTTACCTTTGGTTTAATTACTCTTCTGATTTCATTCTTGGAGTGGCCATTTGCTTGAACTGAGTGGTTTAGATGATTTAGTTCATCGTTGAGAAAGTGTGGTTCACATATCCGTCTTGCGTGGTCTACTAATGTTTTGATTATGCCTCTTTTTTGCTGAGGTTGGTGATTGGAGTTTTTGTGTAAATAACGATCTGTGTGAGTTGGTTTTCTGTAGACCTTGTGACCTAATTGAAGGTTAGCTTTGTGGATGACCATGATATCTAGAAATGGGAGTTTACCTTCGATTTCTTTTTTCCATGGTGAATTGTATGCTACAGCTGCTGGCGAAACGTCAAGTCCTACAATGCCAAGACCACGGCCATACAGCCCGGAAAATCTACAACAACTAATTTGCCTTTTTTTAATTCAATGATACTTGGGTGTAGCATGTTTAGTTATTGTATTTTCTGAATTCTATCCATTTTTTATTCAAAATTGAGTTAAAATTGTATTCAGCAGTGTTTATGCAGTTCAGAGAGGACTCACACTGTGGAAAATGTATGGAATTTGTTTTAATATTTGAATAATGCATATCTGATTTTGTAGGCATGAGAGAAGAAAAGAAAGAACAAGAGGCAGTGAAACGGAAACGGTCATCTTTTATTAAGGAAAAGGAATTTTTTGATGAAAATGATTATTACTGAAGGGATTATTTTGCACATCTTGCCATCTGTGATATTAAGGTATACTGTGAGATTGATATTTGATACAGATTTATTCTCTTTCACACATATATCATGTGTCAATTATTGTCAAGTAGCTTCTGACTGACCTTATGGAGTAATGACCTCTAAAATGTTCTATTGCTAACAGCTTTGCTCAGATGTTGCAAACTGAAGGCCGTGGCTTCCTTGACAGAGTCAATCCATCTCATGTTGGGTCTTCCTCTTTTCTGCTTCCTTCAGCTTTTCCTAACATTATACAGTTTGCGAAAGTCAACTAGATTTTATTAAATTTACATTTTAAAATATTGGGCTGGATTCCAAGAGCCATAAGTGGAACACTGTTTGTGGAGTGGATTTTCTCTGCCTCCCCTTCCCTTCCGCAGCCCCCTGTGCCCACTGAACAGTCAGTCCTACGAATGGTCTGGGATAAGGTGCAGTACACTGCAGCTGGAGGGGTAATTGGCAGAAATTGTATAAGTGTCCCTTTCCCCTTTTCCTGAGCAGATTGTTTCTAAAAGGACTTGTTTGGATGCAGCCCATAGGAATTAGTTCCTAGGTTGGCATTGATTTAACATCAAACTACTGGCCCTTGGCACTGACTTCCCTGTACAGGTGACATGTTCTGTTATACCTACAACAATTACAGTGCACTTTAAAATGTTATAAAGGGTACCATAGGATAGTCCTAACCATTTAAGCACCCAGGGTATACTAGAAGGCAATTGCCTATGTTAATTATAACATAATATTAAATAGCAATAATCTATATGATGTCATTTTTTCTGTTCTTAGGGTTTTAACGTTGCAGCCTGCCAGACATCATGTTTACCATTGATGATATCTTCTACACCAACGTTTAAAAGGAAAATTTAATATCATTCCAGTGCAATTGGAAATGTAAACTTTAATTATGGGTTATGTGCTGCTTATTTGTGGGTGATTGTGTACATGCTCCCTATTAAGCTTTGGTGAGGATGAAGAACTTAAATTATTTAGTGAAACTGCCATGTATAGTGATTTTTTACTGTACAAGTTGTCGATGATTAATTCTTTTTTGTAATTTCCTGATGAATTATTTCTCTATGTCTGCCTAATCAGCAGGCCTGCTGTGAAATATAATTGCACTTTCAGGAAAATTACCATCTCACGAGATGAATAAGTTTGATGATTAAGTTTGGTAGAATGAAGTAATAACATTCAAACAACCAAACAGAATCGCTTGCCTATCCCTTTGCCATGATTTGATGACCTTTCTAGAAAACAGAATAACATTTTAGACACAGTCCAGTTTGACACAACTTGTAACAAAGCAGAACATTTTTAAGGTAAGCTATATTCTCTTAGAAAATGAAGGAATTTCAGCTTAGTTAAACTGAAAATACCAGCCTTGATCTGAGGTCAACAAAACATTATTCACCAAGTTAAAAAAGGAAGGGAAAAACCCTCCCAAGCCTGATAAGAAAACATATTTGCTGCTAAATGTAATTACTAAACTGGATCTGAAGTGTGGTAGCAGCCTGGCATTCATATCAGCAAGAGACAGACTTGTGTGAAAGTTAACATGAATTATCTCTTGTTTTCTGCATAGAAAATAGATCTGTTTCTATGCACTTTTTCCCTAATGATAAGCTCTAGTATTTTCCTTCTTGCCATCTTTTAAATGGTACATTATTTTTGAACTGTTAACTGTGCTTTCATGAAATGGAAATATTTGATGTAGAGCCAGAGAAATCCTAGATGAGACCTGATAGGCTCAAGTTTGCAAATTTGGTAATGATTTTAGAACTATTTCTTCTTCAGTTGCTCTCTGAAGATGTTCTTGATATCTGGAGAATGCCGATGTGTTTCGTTCCCCCTGTTCTTTAGAAGTGCCTAGAAGGAATAGACAGACTTAAAGCTTCCTGTAGTCCAGTTCTTTATTGATGGTATAAAAATGGAGGAAAAATTTTGTAGGCTTTTCTGATTCATAACGTCTGGCACCCATAATATTTTCTGATAGTTTCAAGTGTATGAGGTCTGTAAATAGGGTGAGTTTTGAAGTAATACATGCATTGGTAGAAGCTTTAACCATGAAATGGGAAATGGGTTTTTTTAATGCCAAGAAAAGTGAAGAAACTTAAGTGATCCCCAACTTCCACTTTTTGCTTGCTTGTGACAGAAGTTATTTCTTGCAAATGTAATATTAAATTGTTAGGTATGTGCTTCCATAACATAAATCTACATTTCCTATTTCCCCTCAGCGAGCTTTGTCCCTCTATGCACCTAAGAATTCTATCTTTGATTACAGTTTCTAGTAATTTGCCTGGGACAGACCTTAGGCTGACTGGCCTGTTATTTCCTGGTTCCTCTATGAATCCCTATTTAAAAATGAGTGTAACATTTGCTACTCTTCAGTTGTCTGGTACAGCAGCTGAATTGAGTGATAGGTTACATATATGGGATAGTAGATCAACTATCTCACATCTGAGTTCCTTAAGAACTCTCAGATGTATGCCATCAGGACCTGGAGACTTACCAGTTTTTAATTTGCCCAGTAGGTCTAGAACTTCATCTCTGGTCACCTCAATTTGGCTCAGTTCTTCAGACTCCCTTCCTGATAATAGTGGCTGTTGCATGGGTATGTTCCCCACTGTTTCCATAGTTAACACAGAAGCAAAAAAATCCTTCGATGGGGTGCATTGGTGCCAGCGCCGGAGGTTAGGAGTTTGGGAGTGCTCCTGGATCCCTCCTTAACTATGGAGGCCCAGGTGGCAGCCACTGCCAGATCTGCATTTTACCATCTTAGGCAGGTTCGGCAGTTGGTTCCCTTCCTCGACCGCGATGACCTGGCTACAGTGATCCATGCGACGGTCACCTCAAGGCTGGACTACTGTAACACTCTCTATATGGGGCTGCCTTTGTCGCAGATCCGGAAGCTGCAGCTAGTGCAGAATGCAGCGGCCAGGCTGCTGATGGGTCTCCCCAAATGGGAGCACATCCAGCCTGGGCTGAAAGCGCTGCACTGGCTGCCAATAGCGTACCGGATCCACTTCAAAATGCTGGTTCTTACCTTTAAAGCCCTATATGGCCAGGGTCCGACCTACCTGAGGGACCGCCTTTCCCCATACATACCCCCAAGAGCACTTCGGTCGGGGAAGCAACATCACCTGGAGATTCCAGGCCCCCGGGAGGTAAAGTTTGCTGCGACCAGGGCCAGATCTTTTTCAGTGGCGGCCCCCACCTGGTGGAACGAGCTCCCGGAGGAGATCAGGGCCCTGCGGGACCTTATGCAGTTCCGCAGGGCCTGCAAGACGGAGCTCTTCCGCCAGGCTTTTATATAGGGGCCGCCACTTCTACTACTACCACCACTGAAACAACAGGGTTGGGAGTGGTCCCCGGAAGAACGGCCATAAATTTGCATGGCACTGATGCCGCTGGACTGGCTAGGACCATCGATAGGACAAATTCACCTAAGGAAATGATTGCTACCATCCTCAGAGACCATCTTGTCTGCATGGAGCACTTTATCTGTTTGTGTGATCTAATGGTTTTATTGTTTTATATTGTGTTATATGTATGGGCTTATGCCCCTGTGTAAGCCGCCCTGAGCCCGTTCGTGGGAAGGGCAGGGTAAAAATGCAAATAAATAAATAAATAAATAGTTTCTGGAGCTTTCTCTTCATGGTTTCTACTCAGGATTTTTCTACAGAGTTTTGGTTAAAAATAAGTCAGAATACGGGACTTTTTAACAGCAAAATCCTGGGGGGAAGGATGAAAATGCACAGGGAGTCAACTGATCTTTATGTCCACATATGTCTGAGATACGCCAGTATAAGGGCCAGTTATGATGGCGGAGGCCCCCAGCACTGCGCCATTGCTCTCGGATACTAGTGGAAGCTGTGGCAGCTGCCTGTTGGTGCCACCAAGTTGTAGGCCCCTGCACTGACATGGTTGTGGGCATTTTGGGGGGCTTGGCTAGAGTTAGTTGGCTCCTTGAGTCCTTTCAGCATGGGAATTCCCCTGCTAGAGGTGGAAAGTTGCACCAACAAAAAGCATGGCATGGCCCATAGGGACCAATTGAACTGAAAAATCAAAAACCCCCCAGCCATGCCAATTAGGCTCAGAGTTGCTCAGGATGCCTACTACAGGGTTGGCCAATCACCTCCCTCCCTGGGGTGGCCAAGCCCCAGCACTGAATCGTAGCCCCCCACCCTACAAAAATTTCAGCCAGGACATTTTACAACTCAGTTGTTCGGGTGTGCAGCATGGGACTCTGTCTCAGAGTTCCCAGCTGTGCGGACTTGGCAAGCAGCAAGGCAGTTTGGTGGTGGGAAAAGTACAGAGAGAGCATGTAGTGCTAACACCCAAAGAGGAAAGCAAAGCCCATACTCTGTGGCTGACCTCTCCCATTTCAGAACCCTAACAGGTACCCCACCTTTGGAGGCCTGACCCAAAGGTGAAACCATGCACTAACTGGTAAGCAAGGGCAAGGATCCCAAACCTGCTCCCCTGTTTCCCTTGCTTGTGGCTGGGTGCAGTGACAGCACCTCCTGCACTCAAGCCCAACACGGAGTTCATACAGGGGTGGCACAAGCCATGGCCTTGCAGCACCATGGCCCCTGACATGCCATGGGAAAGATTCCAGGAAAATTTTGGGGAGATCTGTGGGGGTTGGGGAATGTTCTGCCTGTTTTCCACCCCTGGCAGAGGACAGGGCATGTCAGTGGTCTGGGGGGTGTCTGGCAGCTGCTCCACTCTATGTGGTGAACCAGCTTGCCTGGCGACCCTTTGATTTATTTCCTTGCAGAACCAGAGCCTCAAGTAGCAGCTGCAGGTCCTGCTGTGGATGGATCGCCAGCAATCCCTGAGCACTTCCATACAGGATAGCTAAGTGTAATCCAGATGGTAACATTATGTCCCTCAAGGGGGGTTCGTGGTAAAGTCCCCCCCATTGGGGCTGCATTCGCAGACCCTGTCAGGACAACACATCCGTGGCTGAGCCCAGCATGGCACTCTTGCCCGGTTGCCATGGCTGCATGTATCTGTTTTGTTTTCCTGTAGGTGAAGATTCAACAGGGAGACTTATGGGTGTGGCTAGTCCTGCCTCCCCCCCCCCCCCGCTCAGTCTGCCATCCCAGCCCTCCTCTTGGAGTGGAGTATTGCACCCAGCCAGCCCTTCCAAGTTCCACCTGCAATTTCATCCCACTTAGACACAGGCTGTGCCTGGGATCCTTAGTCCTCTTCCCCATGGCCCCAAGGAGGTAGCGAGTGAAGTTTTTACACCTTGCCATGGTTTGCAATTGAATAAAGTCTGTGTTGTGCCATAACTGTGTCTTTGTTTGGTTTTGACTACATGACAGGAACTCCACACCACTTCCTCCTGCCCCACTCCCTCTCCACCCCACCTGTGACTCCCCCTGAGGGCTGCCCGGTGACATGTCTAAGAGGGGAAGGCTCTTGGGTGGATGTGGATGCTTCTGCAGGTGATACTGGTCATAGTAATCTGCCAAGCATAGCAGGGGCCCAGTGGCACCTCTAGAGCTGACCTAACAACAGGTTCCCTCCTGCAACTAGCAGGCTGCTTTGTGAAGGAGGGAGGGGCCAGAGGGTGGTCTGGGTGAATGAGCCAGCTTGGTGCAGTGATTGGAGTGTGAGACTAGACTTGCGAGACCTGAGTCAGATTCTGCGTGCTGTAACAAGGGAGTTAGGGACATGGAGGGGTTGTCTGCATCTGTGATGACAGCTACCTGGAGGGGCTGCTGATGTCATACGGGACAGTGGGGACAGCCAGGAGTGCATCAAGAGGGGATGTACTAAAGCAAGTGACTGGATTGCCCATTGGGAACAATGAGAGAAGCTTGAATGCCCATTGGACATACTTGCAGCCAGATGTCAAATGACTTGTATGGTTTTCCATTGCAATACATTACCATACATGGAAGTAATGATGAATGCAGAACTTTGGATTTGGAATAACGGCTATTCCAGCCCCAGACCGTTTCTGCCCCACTGAGGAGGCAACTGGGGGATCTGAGGGCAGTGCTGCATGCCCCCACACCTGAACCCACCCCAGGGGCCCCCTCTCCTGCCCTGCCACTGGCAGGGGTGTTGTGGGAGTGTGTTTGGCAATGTGGCTGGGTTGTTGGGAAGCCCGCCCACTGGTGAGCAAAAGCCACATGCATATGCATATGCATGGCAATGACAACCCCCCTTCCCCTTCTGCCCTTCAGGGACCTTGTGCTCTGTGTGGGCACTGAGGCAGCTGTGGATGCCTGTGGGGTGAACAGCTTGAACCCCCTTCTGCACTGTCAGGTGCCTGGATCTGCTGACAGGAGTTGGTCCCGGGGGGGTGGGGTGCTGCAGACAACAAGCAGAACTCCTGTGGCCCACCCCCCTTCAACCCCTGCCTGTGATGGATGCTGGACTCCACCCCCTTGCCGCATGACTGCAATTGGCCCTGTCCATCACAGATCTACCTACTCCACACAATTCCTCCACTGACTGCAGTGGCACGGTTGCTACGGATGTTACCCCTGGTTATGCTCAGAGAACACTGTGAGCCCACCAAATTTGTCTGTTGGCTGCCCATAACTTATCCCCATAGGGAAAGTACTAGCGTCACTATAGTTATGCAGTGGGCAGCCGCCGTGGTGCAGGCGTGCCACAGGATTGCTCTGCAAGTTTCTTTCTGATTAACAGAAGCTTAAATCTATAAAAGAAAAATCACAATAAAAGTTTCTGAAGTGCACAATAAGAAATGCTATGTTTCCTTTCCACTTGATAAGTGTATAAAAAAGGTACACAAGTGTACAAAACGTACTTGGGTCAATTCACCTGCCTAATATGTTTAAATAACATTCAATTATTTAAACGATACATTTACTTAAACTGTA